GGTCCGGGGAGACCAGATATAGTGAATGCAGGGTATGGGGAGACCGGATATAGTGAATCCAGGATCCGGGGAGACCGGATATAGTGAATGCAGGGTCCGGTGAGACCGGATATAGTGAATTCAGGGTCCGGGGAGAGCGGATATAGTGAATGCAGGGTCCAGGGAGACCAGATATAGTGAATGCAAAGTCTGGGGAGACCAGATATAGTAGTGAATGCAGGGTCCGGGGAGACCGGATATAGTGAATGCAGGGTTCGGGGAGACCAGATATAGTGAATGCAGGGTCCGGGGAGACCAGATATAGTGAATGCAGGGTCCGGGGAGACCAGATATAGTGAATGCAGGGTCCTGGGAGACCAGATATAGTGAATGCAGGGTCCTGGGTTTAGTAACACTTTAATTAAGCTATAAATTATGAATTGTTTGATTCTCCCATCAACACAGTCACTGATGATGGGGGAATCCCTCGCACAATGTTATTATATTCTGACAGAGGTTTCCCCGCCATCAGGATACAATGTTCCCTGTTGGCAGCTATAGCCGCTGGCAGTGATTGCATGAAAAAAAAAGCCAGACAGGCTGGTTGTACTGAATGCGATTTCATAGCCTGCCCATAGATGGATCGAAATTCTCCCAGTTCATGCTGAAAGAGCCGAATTTCAATCCCTCTATGGCTGGCCTTAGTTTAGCAGGGGTTGCCGATCTCTAGCAGTTTGTGATCTCCAGTGCCCATAAGTGGGCTAAAAAATCAACATTTCCATCTCCTGGCAATAGAATGACAGGTACATAGAAGAGACGCCTTCCTTGCACTCACGCTTGGTCTGCGGTTTCAGTGCAGACTGCAGACAAGTTGTATGTAATCAGATCAAAGCTTACCCCGCTCTCAGACCGAAGAAGACACAGAAGCAAGCAGTTTTTATTTTAGGTTGCTTGTTATCTTCGATATACCTATATGTTAAAAGTTCCATTATCTTTAATGGGAGCAGAATTCTCTCCAGTGGACGTTGAGGCTACAAGCATTCCGCGTGATCTTTGTATTCTTCTACCCAGCCGGTAGACAGCCATCATCCATGCCTACAATCCTTTCTCGGTTCTCTGCCGCTTGACGTATTTATAGAAACATTGATTTTTCCTCCTTTAGCCATCTCATAAATAATTAAGAGAGTCATGATTGGAACCCTGGAGGAGTGTGTATCAAACAAAAAGCCTTACATGTGTATTATCCTTCTGTGTGCTGCATGGAAGGAAAGAACAACTGCATCTCCTGTTATTAGAGAGTGAAGGGAACATGACAGCGATCACATTCAGAACATGACTTTATTGTTATTATCACACAATGGCAACTATTCCGCTAGATTTAGAGATTAATTGAATTTTCGCTCCTCTGAAAAGTGATCTGTCTTCGGATTGCTTTTCAGAGGCACTTGATATGATGCCTCTTCCCTAGCTGTTCTAACAGTAAAAGCTCTACCAATGCATTGCACAAAGTTGCGGGGTCGTTACAGTGCGTCCTCTTGTGCTTGAAACGGATGCTTTGATAAGGAAGGGGGGGTAATTTGACAGGGGTGATAGGTTTACCATGGGTGCATGTTGTAGTCTTGTAGCTGCAACATGGGGGGGTATCATGGGGTAGTAAAAGCATGGCTTAAAAGCGTTTTATTAACACCCTGCAACCTCAAATCTAAGCGACCCCTAATGCAGGCCACAGAGGTTGAAAATCGGCCAATTTTTCGGCGACTAAAAAAAAAAAAAAAATCGGCCGATTTTCACACCATTAGTGGGTTAATTGGTCGCCCGTTTTTTGGGGTTTTGGCACATTTTTTTATCGGTAAAGTTGGAAAATTTGCAGCCGATCTTCCCGGCAATGATGGGCAAATCGGCAGATCGTTTTAGTAATAAAAAATCTGCGCATGAGCCGTGACCAACAAGAAGAAGAAGACGAAGAAGAAGAAGACGACGAAGAAGAAGAAGACGACAAAGAAGAAGAAGACGACAAAGAAGAAGAAGAAGACGACAAAGAAGAAGAAGAAGACGACAAAGAAGAAGAAGACGACAAAGAAGAAGAAGACGAAGAAGAGGAAGAAGAAGAAGACAAAGAAGAAGACAAAGAAGTAGAAGAAGAAGAGGAAGAAGAAGAGGAAGAAGAGGAAGAAGAAGAAGACAAATAATAAGAAGACAAAGAAGAAGAAGACAAAGAAGAAGAAGAGGACAAAGAAGAATAAGAAGCAGAATAAGAAAAAGAAGAAGAATTCCAGTCCGCTATTATATTTTATATGAAAAGTATTGAGGTTGCAACAATGTATCTATTTGTTTCCAAATAAAAACATCTGTATCCGAAATAGATACAAATGGATACAATGTTGCAACCGCAATACTTTTTCATGTCAAATATAATAGCGGAGCTCTCTGCAGGGACAGAAGTAATTAAATGCCGTCCGTAGACAGGGCAAAAATCGGCCGTTTTTTTTACAGTTGGTGGTAACGTCAGCTGATCGATTGACCGATTTTTCTTTTTTTTATATAAAAAAAACGGCGGGTTTTCGGCCCGTCTTATGGTCTGCATTAGTCTCATCTTTAAGTGCTAGTTCACCTTTAAAAAAAAAAACTGCCCATGCAGGTAAGGGCTGCTTGTAGATTAAACACAAAAACGTGCAGCTTTGACTACAGTTGAATAATACCCTTGCTGTATGTGTAGACCATTTACATATTTCACAAAGCCTGACTGAAATAATCCAGCTGTGGCCATCTTGAGCAAGGGCAGAAGATATATGTAGAATTTACCTCCTAGAATCCACCTACCCTTAGCTCAGGCATGATGGTGTGCTTAGCTGAGAAAGCCCCTCCTCCCATGAAGACTCCTGGGATGTATGACATCATTTTAGCCTAGGCCAGAAACCAGGAAGCGACTGAAGAAAAAAGGTTTACAGCAAGTAAATATATAATATCTATCTATTTATAATCTTTTTTATTTACTAGCAGCATAAGAATTAAAAAAAAATAGTTCACGCTGATTGAGAGAGTTTAAAGCCTAACTTCAGCTTTCATTTAAAATGGAACTAAAGTATATGCAAACCCTCACCTTGTAAAACAACCCATAGAGTTCAAAGTGGTTGTAAAGGCTCAAGGTATCATTCTATGCATGAAGGTAAAAAACCTCCTGTGTGCAGCATACCCCCCAGAATAGCAGACTGGGACTTAGACTCCCCCCCCCCCCCCCCAATACTCACCTAAGCCCTCTAAAAAACCTCCTGTGTGCAGCCATTACACCCCCAGCCCCCCCCCCCCCCTCGGTCCAAAGATGTGCACCTTGCTTGCCCGCACGTTTGAGATGTGCTCTGGAGTCTCAGCTTCTTCTCATTGGCTGACACAGAAGCGGGAGCCATTGGCTCCCACTGATGTCAATCACAGCCAGTGAGCCAATGAGAAGTGAGAGGGGGGCGGGACGGGGCTGAGCCACGGCTCCATGTCTGAATGGACACAGGAAGCATCGGGCGCCCCAATAGCAAGCTGCTTGCTGTGGGGGCATCTGATGGGAGGGACCAGGAGAGCCTGCAGGGGACTCAAGAAGAGGAGGTCCCAGGTTGCTCTGTGCAAAGCCATTACACATAAGGAGTAAGTATAAACATGTTTGGTATTTTTTGTTAAAAAAATTATCCTTCAGAATCACTTTAAAAGAGAAATTTAAAAAATTAAATAATATAAATAAAAAATTATAAAAATAAAATAAAAATCAAATTATATATATATATATATATATATATATATATATATATATATAAAATTATAAATACCTTTTTTCCTCTTATTTATAAGTGATCACATACCCTCTGTTCTCAGCTGCACAGGGAGGTGAGGGAGGAGAAACAGCATGACAATGGTCTTCCCAGTGAGTAGATGTTCAGGTGGAGGGGGGGGCGTGTCAACACAGATCTGATCATTGGAGGAGAGCAGGCTGAGTTCTCAGCACAGTTAGAGAACTGACCATGCTGTGCTCTCATGTCCAGTGTGGTCAGTTTTTAATGGGAAAACAGAGGGACTGGCAGGAACACCAGGGATTTCACACAAAGGAAGCAATACAAAGAGAACAGGAGACTTTTCATACAAGTACGTGGTACAGTAGGACCATATCAGGAATAGGAAATGTTGGGTTCACATATTCTTTTTGTAAAAACACAAAGCAAAGGTAATGTTATGCGGAGTGATCACACCGCACTATCCCCCATAAACAAAGCACAGGAAGACGGTATAAACGTCGGGGAATCCAGCTGGACCAGCTCAGCATGAAGAACACCTGTATCAACTATTTTTGGGATTAACTGCAATGATGTATCCATAGAAATGAACAAAACTGTTCACTGAACCGAACTAAAACTGCAAACACTGAAAGAAAAATATGACAGCCCTGAGCATTTCAGTGATACTCACGTGTCCCCGCACAAAATAACAAATACATCTGCTGCGTTCACTATGGAGATCTGTTGAAGCAGAACTATAGGCAAAAACTTTTTTTTTTAATTTTAGACAGAGTAAGGGAGGGTTATAACCCATCAGATTTTTTTTTTTTGCCATCTGTGTCCCATTGGGGAGAATTCACTTCACTTCCTGTCCCAAAGTCAAACAAGAAGAGAGAGGAAATCCCTGGGTGTCACCAGAACTAGTGTTCCCATTGGAAGATTTCCCCTCTATTCTTGTTCTGGGGACAACCCAAAATTTGGATTGTTCACTTTTGATGATAATGGTAAACAGGACAAATAAAAGAGGATGACTCTCACTAATGGGGGCACAGGCAGCAATAAAAACTGACAGGGGTTCTAATCCCTCTCCACTCTATACAGAACGAAAAAAAAAGTTTTACCTGTAGTTATACTGTAATGCTGAACTCCAGGTATGGAATGTATTGCAGTTACCTTGATCCAGCTTAGACCGATGTAAGAGTACATATGTCATACCCGGGGATGTAAAAAATAACTGGATGCAGCTACTTAGCAAGTGTTAATAAACCCTGGACCCTCCACTCATTATATCCGGTCTCCTTGGACCCTGCATTCACTATATCCGGTCTCCCCGACCCTGATCCTGCATTCACTATATCCGGTCTCCCCGGACCCTGCATTCACTATATCCGGTCTCCCCGGACCCTGCATTTACTATATCCCGGTCTCCCTGGACCCTGCATTCACTATATCTGCTCTCCCCGGACCCTGCATTCACTAAATCTCCCCGGATCTCACTATATCCGGTCTCCCCGGACCCTGCATTCACTATATCTGGTCTCCCCGGACCCTGCATTCACTATATCTGCTCTCCCTGGACCCTGCATTCACTATATCCAGTCTCTCCGGACCCTGCATTCACTATATCTGGTCTCCCAGGACCCTACATTCACTATATCTGGTCTCCCTGGACCCTGCATTCACTATATCTGATCTCCCCGGACCCTGCATTCACTATATCTGGTCTCCCCGGACCCTGCATTCACTATATCCTGGTCTCCCCAGACCCTGCTTTCACTATATCTGGTCTCCCCGGACCCTACATTCACTATATCTGGTCTCCACAGACTCTGCATTCACTATATCTGGTCTCTCCAGATCCTGCATTCACTATATCTGGTCTCCCTGGACCCTGCATTCACTATATTTGGTCTCCCACAGAACATGGAAATGCAATTATTTTAGTAAATATATTTAGAGCAGTCTTGTGACTTCTATCAGTGTCCAGCAGAGCACTGGTTAAAGCTTGTAGGAGGGGTTTTCATTCTCCTCTGACTGTCCTATGAGGCTGCATGACCCCTGAGCCTCTGTCTGGACAGTGGCGGGTCCCTTCCCTCCAATCAGCTCTCAGAGCTCCTCCCCTCACTGAGCTCTACAGTGTGTGACATCAAGTGCCCACCCCTGATTTCTGAAACCTCAGACAAGCTTTATAAATTCTGCAATTTGAATGGCTGTAAAGAAGAGAAGACTGCAGATAAACAGGTAAAACTTATGTAGGAGGATTTTTTTCATCTCTGTGTATCACATGAGGTCAGTCACTCCACTGGGTATATGTAAGGGTTTACAACCACTTTCATCTGACCATCAGATAGAGAATTTTACTGTCACGCAAAGGCTTTTAGTGCTATAATAGGCTGTATATTGGATCCCATCAAAGCCTTTACTGGTAAATACGTCTGAAAACAGCAAGCACAGATCCTGTAAGTAGTGAAGTGTACCTAATATTAGATGCAGGGAAGTTATTTTCTGACATGTAGCTGACTTCCTGCACTGTAGTTCCACAGAAACCAAAAACAGCCATTAATATAGAACACAAAATATCAATACATCAATACCACGTGATCATAAAAACATCTTCTCTGGACTGGACACTTCCCCCTGCATCTGGTCTCCACTGTATGTTATATATTATACAGGATTTTATATAGGACTTTATAATAAAAAGGAAGACAGTACAATTCCAATACAGACCAATGCAAGAGGTGTAGGGGGGCCCTGCTCCTCAGAGCTTACAATCTAAAATGCATTTCTGTATACCTGTCCAAAGGTTTTCCAAAACAATGGAACTGCGATCTCATCCATGCATTGGACCCCGGAGAGATGTAGGCTCAGGATGTGCATGGAGATCTGTGCAGGTCCATGAAGCTGGGCCCCTGTCCTGTGTATTCCAGTGGGTGAGGACAACCCCTACCACGGACAACCCCTAGCACCAGTATATGGATTGGTGCGCCACTTTATTAGCTACACCTGTTCAATTGCTTGGTAACACAAATAGCTAATCAGCCAATCACATGGAGGCAACTTGGTGCATTTAGGCATCTAGACTTGGTGAAGATGACATGCTGAAGTTCAAACCGAGCATCAGAATGGGGAAGAAAAAAGAAAGGGGATTTGAGTGACTTTGAACGTGGCACGGTTGTTGGTGCCAGATAGGCTGGTCTGAGTATTTAAAAAACTGCTGATCTACTGGGATTTTCAAGCACAACTCTCTGGTCCGGAGAATGGTCCGGAAAAGAGAAAATATCCAGTGAGCGGCAGTTGTGTGGATGAAAATGCCTTGTTAATGTCAGAGGAGAATGGGCAGACTGGTTGCTGCGAAATTCAGATAGTAGGGTCAGAATTTGGTGTAAACTACATGAAAGCATGGATCCATCCTGCCTTGTATCAATGGTTCAGGCTGGTGGTGGTGTAATGGTTTGCGGGAGATTTTCTTGGCACTAGCAAATTGGACCTAGTAAAGTGGCCGTGTCACAGGCACGGGAGTCCATTCAAATGAATGGGCTCTTGTGCCCGCGTAAAACCCAGCCTGCATGGCTGCATATTATTATTATTATACAGTATTTATAAAGCGCCAACAGTTCGCTCAGCACTGTACAATACAATGGGAGACAATACATGAGACAGTACAATAACAATACAATGTGATACACGAGGGGTTCGAGGGCCCTGCTCCTTGGAGCTTACAATCTAGGAGGGAGGGGATAGTGGTACGGGAGGAAAAGCTGTGGGGGATGGAGTGGTAGGAAGAGTGGAGGAGGTCGGCAATTAGCAGGGGGTGGGGTAGGCTTCCCTGAAGAGATGGGTTTTCAGGGTGCGCCTAAAGGAGAGGAGAGTAGGTGATAGTCTGATGGATTGGGGTAGGGAGTTCCAGAGGATGGGTGACGCCCTGGAGAAGTCCTGGAGGCGGGCATGGGAGGAGGAGACCAGGGAACTAGAGAGAAGGAGGTCTTGTGAGGAGCGGAGTGTGCGTGCTGGGTGGTACTTGGATATTAGGTCGGTGATGTAGTTCGGGGCAGTATGGTGGATGGCTTTGTACGTCAGTGTTAGGATTTTGAATTTGATACGTTGGGCAATCGGGAGCCAGTGGAGGGATTGGCATATATGTGAAGCGGGGGTAAGAGAGGGAGCGGGAAGAGGAAGCAGGGTGGCACCACATCACCTTTAAGGTGTAGGTTCTCTTTAAATTCTTTTAAAAAACAAAAAAATACAAAAAACAAACCTCCTATTCACAAAAGGAAATCCAGATAAACAGGTAAGTGTTCTAACAGAAGACGGCTATATAAAGGTGTGAAGGGAATGCACAAAATAAAGGTTTTGTAACCTGAACTGCGCTAATATTCTGAACGCATTCTTCTTTTCAATAGCCTCTCCGCCGCGGTGCGTCCATTTTGTTTGGAAATGTCAGAGGGAAATATGTTGTGGTGAGCAATCATCTAATTTTAGATAAGGCAGAGTGAATGGGCGAGGGCTGTCAGCGGAGGAAGCTTGATTGTGTCTTCAGGGTTGTATCCTGAAACGTTGGGTAATGAACTACTGACTTGCCCATCGCATGATTAGTTCCGCCGATGAAGCCGCTGCTGCGAATATTTTCTTCAGAACACAAAGGTTAGCATTTTAAACTCCATGCAGATATAAAACACACAAATGAATGCATCTCTTCATGTCATTAAGGTTTACACCAAGCCTGCATCAGAATCGCACAGGAACGCACGGCACGTTCACCTGCAGCTCTGCGTAATGCGATTTCAAGACCATTTATTTTGAATGGGCTCAAACTGCACCTCGCTGCGCCATGAGTAGTACATGCACTACTTTTAAAACGCACTATAACCAGATCGCATGGTACAAAAGTACCACGTGATCTGGTGCAGGTAGGTGTGATTAAACGCGGCCTGCATTTGGGGTGTCGTTAATATTTTATTGACACCCGCTGCAGATTGCAATAGCAGTGTGTTGAATCGCACTGCACAGTCCTGTGGTGGCATGGTGTGAACATGCACTATATGTCTTTTTGATTTATTACAGGTACTTATATAGCGCCATCAATTTACACAGCTTTACATATATATATATATATTGTACATTCACATCAGTCCCTAACCCTCAAGGGGTGTACAATCTAAGGTCTCTAACTCACATTCATATATACACATACTAGGGCCAATTTAGACAGGAGCCAATTAACCTACCAGCATGTCTGGGAGGAAACCAGAGTACCTGGAGGAAACCCACGCAGGAACAAGGAGAAAATGCAAACTCCAGGCAGGTGGTGCCATGGTTGGGATTCAAACCGACGGCCCTAGTACTGCCAAGTGGAAGTGCTAACCACTTAGCCACTGTGGTTTTTTAAAGATTTCCAGGTACGGATATTTTTACACATAATTCCATTGGTCCAGCTTGGATCACTGTAACTCAGTGTCCCTCTAGAAGCTGGAAATCACTGAATGACATCACTACTCCAGCTTCTGGGTCCGGTGCTGAGCAGCTGTCTTGCTGTATCCTGAACTCAGGAGGCCATCCACTCAGCACTGGCATCATTCAGGGAATGCTTTGCATGCATGCCTGACAACGTCGGGGCTTGCTCCTAATGAGATGACGGATGGTGTCCTAGGGTATCTCCTCCCAGATCTGGACCAGGGTATCACTGAGCTCCTGGACAGTCTGAGGTGCAACCTGGCAGCATCGGATGGACCAAAACTTGATATCCCAGAGGTGTTCTATTGGATTTAGGTCAGGAGAGCATGGGGGCCATTCAATGGTATCAGTTTCCTTTATCCTCCAGGAACTGCCTGCATACTCCCCCCACATGAGGCCACGCATTGTCGTGCACCAGGAGCAACCCAGAGCCCACTGTACCAGTGTAGGGTCTGACAATGGGTCCAAGGATTTTATCCCGATACCTAATGGCAGTCAGGGTGCCATTGTCTAGCCCGGGTGTCGGCAACCCGCGGCTCCAGAGCCGCATGCGGCTCTTTTTCACCTTTGCTGCGGCTCCGGAGCACACTGCCCACCAGGTGACAGGCAATAGGGTTGCCGTAGCTCAGTGGTCGGCAAGCCGTGGCTCTTTACACATTTTAATGCGGCTCTTCTGTGTGCCGGGCGCCCGCTCCCCTCCCTCCTCTCGGGCGGCCGCCCCAAAAGTCAAGACTCTGCAGCTAGCCCAGCAATAGGCAAACTACGGCCCGGCGGACCCTTTAATCCGGCCCGCGGAGCGTGGCAAACATTGGCTGTCAGGATGTAGGTGGGGCAGCTTGACGAACTCCTCTCCTCTCACAGTCCACCCTGAAGACCGGAACGGCGCGGGAACACAGCGACTGGAACGCGCGGAGCAAAGGTAAGTGAATTGACACAATATGGGGAATGAATTACTATAGGGGATGAATTACTATAGGGGGGATGAATTACTATATGGGGGATGAATTACTATGGGGGATGAATTACTATAGGGGGGATGAATTACTATATGGGGAATGAATTACTATAGGGGGGATGAATTACTATAGGGGGGATGAATTACTATATGGGGGATGAATTACTATGGGGGATGAATTACTATATGGGGGATGAATTACTATATGGGGGGGGATGAATTACTATATGGGGGATGAATTACTATATGGGGGATGAATTACTATATGGGGGATGAATTACTATGGGGGATGAATTACTATGGGGGGGATGAA